CAGTCTTGACAGAGGATAGATTGGGGGGGGGGGCTATCTTCTCTCTTGGGATGGGGGGGGGACTGAAGTCCTGGATGCAGAGCTCCAACAAAAAGGGGATGGACACTTAAGCTGCTTACAACAGCCTACTGGGGAAAGGATAAGGGCCACACAGGACTGGACCACCTCATCACTTAAAAACACACTCTGACTCAGCTACACTCTGAGACACACACACACACACACACACACACACAAGTACTCTGTAGTTGCTCTAAACCCATGCAAAGATAGACAAATTGGAGATTAAAGGTCACAATGATATTGGTCCTGCTTTAATGTGTGAGTCTGTTTCACTTGAGAATAAAAGAAAATTAAATGTGTGTGTGTGTGTATTTGTTTCAAGCGTTATGATTCTTACAAATGTAAAAATGACACTGTGCCGTTCTAAAAAAAAAAAAAAGAAAAAAGAAACATCACTGCACACCGAACACACACACACACACACACACACGCACGCACACACACACACACACACACACACGCACACTCCACAGTCAAGTACAGGAAGAGATGCAAATTAGAAGTCAATTAGCGGAGTTCTCTACATATGGAGTCCAATTAAAGCTAAATCAACACAATCAAACAATCAGTCGGATGATGACGAGAACACGGGGAGAAATAAAGTGGAGACCTCTGTAAAGTGCATGTTTAAGTGCTGATGTGAAGCACACACACTCAACACTGACAATTAAACAGGTTCGAATTTTTTAAATGAATTATTTGTGAATGTCATTAATTAAAACTGTAACCACAGAAACAGCAGGATAACATCTGGTGAGCAAACTACCTACAGTATCTATCTCTACCGGATCTACCGGATCTACCGGAGCGTCTGCAGCCCAGGTACAGAGCAGCGATCTTGACCTGTCACCTTCACACTCGGAGCTTTCCTGTCTGTAGAACAGCTGTTACTTCTCACACTTCTCACAGCAGCTCCACGTAAAACGCGGCGTACACCGGCTTTAGCTGCGATGCCATTTGTGCTCCGGAGAAAAAAAATCTCTCAGCAACCGCTGCTTAAACTTTATTTACTGTAAACGTTCCTTGACGTCTAATGAGTCGACCGACAGCTCATGGATTGATTTCTTGATAAGGAACAGGAAGAGAAGAGCAGAAGTTGGACTATTTATGGTGAGAAATGACAGAAAATTCAAGATTTTATAATTACATCAAACCAATAAAGCTGGATATGGATTCCTGATACTTTCTAAATGCGTCTATAGGAGCCAGAATAAATGTCTGGGGCAGTTTGTAGTTTTCTTTACTTAATCTTTGATCAGTTACTTCCTGATTTCTATCAACACTTTGAAAACTATCCTGTAAAAAGCAGCTTATAAAGTAACCAAGAGGGGTAAAATAATTATGACTTTCACAGAAGAGACCGCTGTTTTTTCCTGCGTGGAACTTTTATCCATTATTACTGTAACCATGACAACGCTGTCCAATACACCTGCTGCCGCTCGGCTCCTACAGGTCGTATCTGAGGGTGGGGACAAGCGCCACATATTATGTTGGGAGGACTTTTGCAATTTAGACCATTTTATGTGAGAAAGAGTCATATTTAGCCGCTTGTGTTTAGACTGGTGGATCCCACAGTGAGGGCGGTTGCCTTGACGACGGGCCCGAGGGCGTGAAACAGACTTAAACATCTGAATCATCGTATTGAAAAACCCTGTTAAATATGCAGCTTCGCCACAGCTAACTGAGCTGAGACGAGTCACGCTCAGGTCGTCACACAAACAAACACAAGATGCGTTCAGGCGCACGAGTAATATAAAGCGTCGTTTAAGAGATGTGTCACTTTGACACGGGGAAGGTTCGCAGCAAAGTGAGGCATCAAGAAGGATCCATACTTTATGTTCAGCTCCTAAAAACCTAGAAGACTTCGTGCTCCTGCGGGTGTTTACTTTTGTCTGCAGCATGAAACGTCCTGATTATGGTTGAGGGAAGAAAAATATATTGCGAGGCACAATTTGTTTGTGAGGAAGACAAAAGGAGGAAGAAGCCGATTTCTTATGAATGAAACAGGATGAAGACAGGTGCACACAAATCTAGTATGAGACACATGAGGATACACACACACACACACACACACACACACACACACACACACACACACACACACACACACACCTGCTTTTACCTAATGGCCCCATTATTTCTAACTCTAAGCATTTGTGACTTTTAACACACAAACATGGCGTCCACACACCTGCCGCAGGTCTGAGGGCATTGCTGCCCCCCCCCCCCCCCCCCGGGAGAAATTGCTCGTTCATAATCAAAACGAGAAACAAATGGCCCCTCTGCGTGGCACGCCATTTTTGGAGTGACTCAGCCAAAATAAACAGCGGCGTGACAAGAGAGACATTTAGAAAGAAGAGAGAGAGAGAGAGAGAGAGAGAGAGAGAGAGAGAGAGAGAGAGAGAGAAGGTGTCAGAGCAAATAAAAGGTGAAAGCGAGTGCAGCGCACTGGTTTAGGGATGCACAAGCGAACACACACACACACACACACACACACACACACACACACACACACACACACACACACACACACACACACCCTTTCAGCCTTCTGTGGAGTCTCCAGCAGAATAATGCGCCTGAGAAAGAAACATTACATACAATTATTTTTTTGTAGTTGACACAGAAGTTAATGTTTTGCGTTTTAATCGTTTTCACGGCAAATTTCTCCGTCGCCATTTCTCTTGCTCCGGTACAAGGAGAAAATGTTCCCGATTCTTGTCACCAGTCCGTATATTCACTATAGATCTACAGTAAGTCCTGCCCACGCTAGAGCTTCCCCAGCAGAGCTAGAAACCTCCTCAAGCTGAAAAGCTCCATCGGAAATTATATTCAGATTAAAAAACTTTCCAGAACACCTCAATCCAGATTATTCCTTTTCCATGCAGAGCTGCACGTTAATAAAATATGGTTAAAAATCAACAAAATAAGAGTTTAAATTGTGAAACATTGACAGAATTATAAACCCTGTCCATCAAAAACACCGTTAACTGTGTCTGTATGTCAAAGTAAGTATCCGTGAGCACGTGCAGTCACGCGTGTGTTTGTGTGTGCGATACGTCCGACAGCACCGAGAGCAGGAACACACTGATTAAAGTCGACGGTAAACATGTGGCGAGGCGTCTCAGTGCGCGGGTGAGGGGCGGGTCGGCGGAGCCTCAGTCTGAGTCTTGTCACTGCGAGGAGACCGGGATCATTCGGAGGTTACGCTGAGGTTAGCAAGAGGCAGCGAGTGGTGAAGGTCAAAGTTCAAGTCAAGTTGAACGACTGTGTGTGTTTTTTATATTGAAAATAAAAGGCAGTAGATTTTATTTTGCATAATATTATATTTTACATTTACGCATTGAAAATAATCCTACAACTGTGTGTGTGTGTGTGTGTGTGTGTGTTTTTGTGCGTATGTGTGGGAATAGTAAACACAACAGCTGTAAGTGCAAGATGTTAAAAATAAACAAAATAACACGCCCACCTAACACCATCACAACAGCTCCTCAGGCAAAAACCTCATGAGAGTGACCAGAGAAACCACCAAGATTATGAAACATGTACCACACACACACACACACACACACACACACACACACACACACACACACACACACACACACACACACACACACACACACAGAGTATACAGACAAACGTTCAGGTATTTACAATCAATAATATATGAAACATACTCTCAGTTTGGACAGAGACAACGAATGTGTGTGACTGCTTCAGTTTCTACTTCCATTGTACTGTGTGCGCCTTTTGTTTGACATGGCAAACCACACACACACACACACACACACACACACACACACACACACACACACACATTAATGTACTCTCTGTCTCTGCTTTCTAGCCTCGCCTGCTAGATTTATCGATGCAGCAATTTTCAGTCTGTCTCCATGGTGCGTTGCTCAGCCAAGCCATTTAGGATATTGTAGTGCTGCAGTGGTCATGTCTGGCACAGTTAAGGGAAAACACACACACACACACACACACACACAGACAAACATTTGTTCAGCGTTGCTCTTTCTTTCGTTCTGGCAACTAAAAGCTGTTTAGCCTACAATCGCAAAAACAGCTGCTTAAAGGCCTTCAGTGTCACGCCAAAGCATTTTCTGACTGAGCGGCCATGTTTGGACATCACTGTGCAGCCAGCTTTATGAAGTCTGTGTCGCTCGTTGTCAAAATATTTTGTTCAGTGGGAGAGAGAGAGATCTTTAGGATTAGGACCCTCTTCTAACTGCTGCTTGTTATTGTTCTTAATAACAATGATGTGTATTTCTGAGAGCTAAAGGCGGCTGAAAACTCACGCACCCCTGCACACGTGTCAGACGTGGTGAACATTTACATGTTTTCAGGGTCTTAAGGGTTTTAAGGCTCGATTAGCGAAAGCATATCCCTGACGCTACGTTTCAAATTTCTTTGGCTCATCTGAAGACTTTCGCGATGCTAAATTGTAAAGCTTTTGAGTTTTTCGTGGAACAGCGTTGTCCTCGGCAACATGGTCAATTACGACTTCTTCTGGCCCCAACTGTGACATGATTTATACTTTGATGTTCTTCTCCTAACGGGTCGAATACATCCACCTCAAACATGGTCAGGAAATATACTTCAGACCGTGGTGACGCTTTACTGTTTTCATCGAACAACATTGCCCTGGGAATGTGCCGAATTTCGGTGTTTCACCATGAAACAGGAAGTTGTTGCTGAGGGACACGGGATCCTTAAAAAACTCCTGACACCTCAGGATAGAATATCAACCAAGTAACATATACAGCACATATTACATCCCAAACCATCCCCCTCCCTCCCAAACTGCAAGGGCTCCATCAACGCCACTTGCAGCCTTAATTGTCTAATTGGATCACCTAATGATCGAGGGCCCGGCAGGATGGGGGTGGGATGGGCGTGTAATCACAGTTATATGATCATATACTCACAGCTGACACTGGTCGCCCTTGATGCCCTTGGTGGTGCAGAAACACTTCCCTGTGTTGACGTGGCACACGTTGGCGTGGCTGTTACACTTACATGCTGCAAGGAGAAGAGAAAGAGAGAAAGAGAGAAAGAGAGAAAGAGAGAGAGAGGTTAGGATTTTATTTTGAAGTAGGATCTCTTGGTGGTATCTTAAGGACAACGGAGCAAGGAAGGAAAGAGAGAAGGCGAGAGAAGAACGCTTAAGAAAACAGTGGGGGAAAAAAAAAAAGAAAAAGGAAAAAGGGCAAATCATTTTCTGAGAAAAACAAAGCATCTTTCAGCTCTGAGTCATTCTCACTCTGCACCAACAGGCGTTAAGTTCCTGATTGAAATGTTTTCTCTCCTTTCCCTGCAAAACTGAACCTGATGCACCTTCACCTTTACCTAACCGGAGCATCATTACCTCCCCGATGTGATGCATTCCCTCTCAAATGTGTTTGAAATAAAACCGTTTGGGCAGAAATAGTTTCTGGACAACATGAGGTCTCCACCAGTACGACCTCGTGCGGCCCAAAGCCGAGAAGAGATCCCTTCTTTAAGAGTTTGGAGGACAAAGTCGAATGGATATAGACGCTAAATGAAGCTAATATGTCTCTGAAGTTTCTCTGTTTAGTGCGTTATCCTCTTCGCATTTCGCAGGTTGGTGCTTCCTCACCGTTTTCCTTTAAGCTTGCAGTAACTGTCATTGGCCACTTGGGGGCGGCAGAAACGATTTGTGAGCAGCAGTGACACATCACAACCTTTTTTTTAAGTCGATACGGCGAACAGTTGCTAATTTACACATCTAGCATTAACAGGGCGGCGTTATCGTGTATTTGGGGACGTGTTTCTGGTCACCTGGTCAATATAAGACCAACAGTCACTCGCTTTTATCTTTTTGGTCTAAACTCCAGAGGGAAATATCCGGCTCTTTAGCTGCTTGATGTTCCGCTGTGTTCACCTTCAGTCCTGCGGGCCGCCCTTCAGGTAAACTGAATATTTTCACACAGACAGAAACAAATAATAATCAGTATGTTTTTTAATCAAGATGAATAAGATACAAAAACACACAGCGGTCGTGTTGTGACAAGGGAGCTGAAAAGTCTCGGTGTTGAAGGCCAGATGTCAGAATACGACAGTGGCGGCACTGAAGGGAGAGACAACACGAGTTAATAAGGTGACAAGCTGTTTTTATAAACATCATGAAAGATGTATTTGACTTTCAGAGGAGACGGAGGGGCTGCAGGAGGCAACATCCTGAATGGTGAAATTCGGCTTTTGGGAGCCACTTATTGTAGGTTCGCCTCGCTTTTGATTAGAGGCGCGGACACGGCGAGTCTAATCTCTTTAATCGTTTTGTGATGTAAAAGCAAAACATGACGGCGGCCGCGTGATTCACATGGAGCCGGCCTGTAATTCAGACACTAAATCACTTCTGCATGGGTCGACTAATGGCAGAGAACAAACAAGAACGTGCTCTACGGCGCTCGCATGGCGGTGTGTGTGTGTGTGTGTGTGTGTAAATGTGTGTACACTGCCATACAAGGCCGTGCTTTCCCCGTGTCCCCCATCTCCAACCAGATTGACTTTGTGCTTTGTTCTTATTCTTTCCAACTGGCGCCGACACCGGCCTGTGTGATAAACACAGTGGTGCGCGCTCAGGTCAAGGTGAAGCCAAAGCACCAACAGATAATGAGAAGAAAACAACCTCCTCTATCCCCTCTGCCCCTCTGCATGATTTCGATTGCTTACACAGAACAAAAACAAGGTAGCAGACATAAACGCTGCTTTAAATATTTAGATTTTTATTAGCACACACACACACATACACACACACACACACACACACACACACACACACACAGCGTAGCAGGAAAAACAAGGTTGTTCATTAGGGACATTCAAATTTCATCTGGCTAGAAGTTGAGAAGCAGGGCCGCTGACGGAAGATGCGGCATCGATAACAAAATACAATTTCAATGTGTTTCTTGAGATGACACTGACCCGCCACTAAAGACAGAAGGAGACGCTGAACTGTGAGGCTTTCAGAGATAACACAGCCTTAACAAAAAAAGTGGCTTTTACGCTCGAGACGATGAGACAATGTGAGACAAGGTGTGTCGGCGCAGCCTCGGGTCACCCTGCTGTTCGTACAATATCGATGTAGGAGACAGTCAACGAAAAGGGGCGTACGAAGGACACGCACGCTCGGAGAAACGCACGTGCACGCGCTCACATAGATTCTGCCGATGGCACTTGATGAAAGACAGAGAGACGGCGAGGGAAGAATCTGCCAGCGAGTTCAGACTGCTCTCAGTTTTCACTCTCTAACTGTAATAACAAAGGGCAAATTACAGGTTGAGTGAAGACACTTGAACAGATAGACATAACACAATCTATAAGCCTGTCATTTGGTGACAACAAATTAGATTATTTCAGATCTCAGAGTAAAACAGAGTGACACAGGGCTGCACTAACCCCCCCCCCCATCTCTTCAAACAAACATGAAACCACTGTAATCCCCTCAGCAGTAAACAAGATCCTGCTTCCAGCAGAGACGTCTCGGCACAGACCGGCTCCCCGCTCGGCACACTCTGATGGGAAGCTGAGATATAAAAGCCGCTGTAGCATTTCATCAATGTACAGAAATGAAACGACTGCGTAAATATCAACAGACTTGAGAAAATAAAGCTAAACACACTCACGCCTCTGATGCAATAGCTAACGAGCTAACAGCTAGCGTCTCTCTGAAGCGCTAAAACGTGAAACTGCAAAAACAAAAGAATCCAGAACGATTGTATTTCAGGACAAAATGTTATTAAGCTCGGGCGACATCCAAATGTTTTTCTTCTTTTTTTTGCACAATTTTGCCACATTTTTGTCCAATATTAAAATAAACAAGACGTGTTTGGGAAAGTTTGACGCTTTCACCACAACAAATGAAAAGTTGTGTGTCTCTACCCGCCTGATACGAACCGTAGGAGCGTCTCCTGAATCAGCGCCGCATGCCACCGTCGTTTGATGCTGTAATATTACATGAAAGGTTTGGGTTAGGTGCAGGTAAAGGATCACGGTTGGGGGTTGAAATAAGTACTCGTGTCGTTATGGTTACAATGATAAACCATTGTGATCATGTTTACTAGAAACAACGCTGGGAAACAAAACAAGACAAACTGAGGTTGAATGTTTTTGACGTGCTCCTTTGCTCCTGTCATATTTACTCCGGCCACTAGAGGGCGCTGTCACTTGACCATGAACGTGGGGGTTGTTTTTCACAAAAAGCAACATGTATTAAAAAAACAAACAAAGCACAGACACAGTAGAAACTATGACCTTCAACTTCACACACGACCAATAAATGTCATCCTGCATCCTCCTTCACCTTCCTCCTTCACCTGCAGATGCATTCAGCGTCACCGTCGGTGTCGCTCACCTTTCATATTCTGCGCCGAAGCTGATCAAACAGTGAAACAGGCCTGCAGGCTGCTCCAGGATGTTACACCCCGAGGTTCACAGACAGGAGTTGTCAGTGCGCTGTCACTGCTCTAAATGTGCAAGATTCAAAGTAACGCTGCTGGAACATTTATGCATAACAGTCAGCAGCCTCAGCACACAGCGCACAAAGTGGTTCAAGAGACACTTGTACTGTCTGTCAAAGCTTATAAAAAAGGATAACGGGTCAAATAAGACGTCAAAAGGCAGAAGAAAGTCTTCTAACGCCGCAGCCACTACTGAGTCGACTCTCTCCAAACAAGGAGATTCCTCAAAGTAAAATACGCACTCGCTGATCCGACCGGTCTGTAGACACAATCATATTAAAGCGCCCCGAGGAAGTGAACTCAATTCTGCGGGAAGCGGAGAGGTGAAGGATTGGAAGGAGCAGGGGAATCGTAAAAAAAATGAGTGGATGAATGAAGTGGATGGAGGAGAAAGCGCATCACGCGTCACACCTGCTGACAACACAGAAAATAAGCCACAATAAAAAGAAACCTGATCTCTTAGCAAAAAAAAAGGCTGATTTGATATAAATCATATTTCCCGTGACTCGTTCAAGCCCCCTGAAGAGAGCGCAATTTCTCACTCCACTGCTTCTGCATGTTGTTGTGTGTGTGTGTGTGTGTGTGTGTTTGTGTGTGTGTGTGTGCGCGAGTCAGTCAGAGATGAGGAAATAAGTCAGTGAGGAAACATTAGAGAACAATCCTCACTGAGCCTGTTATCTGTTTCTACACTCGGCTTTGTCTTATTCCTGAGTGTGTGTGTGTGTGTGTGTGTGTGTGTGTGTGTGTGGCTAGCAAGCTAAGCTAAGCTAAAGAGCCTAAACTCACAAACTCAATCCATATGAATTTCTTCAACTGTAAAACATCTGATCTCTCCATGCATCAACCTCCGAACACACAGATGATCAAAATGCATGTTGAGGAAACTTGACCTGCGCCTCCTCTACGTCTCTGCTGCTCCGGAGCAAAACAAGTTCCCGCCACTGATAGAATAAAGGAATTTCTCGATCAAAAAACCATTTCCTGTTGAAATGAATCCATGTCTGATACACCACACACACCTTTTTAAACAAACAACATCACTAAGGTCGGTCAAACCAAAACACACCAACATGCCGGTCTGAGGAGAGCTGCGTAAACCTGACTCGTCATTCTGAGAGACACAGTAACACATGTTGCTCATGTAAAGCAATAATCTCTCAGTTACTTGTTAACGTGTCTTTATAAAGCCGGGCGCCACTGACCCTGTTTACAGATCAGTAGCTTGTTTTGTTTTAATCTTAAAAAAAAAAAAGAAACCAACATACTGTTAGAAACAAACACAATCTTTGTTTTCTTAACTACTCTGAATGACTCAGTGCTCCACAATCAGCATCCATTTCTATTTTTCCCCCATTTTTCTCTTTGTTTTACGTTACATGAGGCGGAGCTGCAGAGACATGTTCGAACACGCAGGAGAAAATATATATATATATTTTTTTATGTGTAATTTTAATTAGAGGTCATAATCCCTATATAACATGACGGTCCGAATGTCAACAGTGCTGCGATTCCCATCTGCTGAAAATGTGTGCAGCATGC